AAGGATGGTGGGAGCAGGTTGCTTCAGACCTCTCAGCAGGGTGAAGGGAGGGAAAAACCCTGTGATACAAGAGGCTGCCATAAAGCCTGAGCCTTCTGGCACGGGCTTGTTCTTCAGGTGTGTTCGCACAGGAACCGCGCCGTGCCGGGAGCCTGGCTGGGCTGTGGCATCACCCTTGGCTCCCAGACCTTCATCTCCCCCAACAAAGGGTCCGATGGGGAAGTTGAGCAGTTAGAGGGCGATTGCCTGAGATGCATTTCTAGCCAGGAGAAGAGAAAAAGAGCAAAGGTGGTAGGTGAGCAGAAGGAGCGCTGGCAGGGCAGAGGGGAGGGGGTGAAGAGTCCTCCCAGCCATGCCCAGCTCATCTCTGGGTGGGAGGAAAGACGTGCTGCAAGTGCAGGGGGGCTGGGGGGCTCAGTCTGTGCTTGAGGAGGGTATGGGAATAATTGGGATTTTCTTCAATGAACAAAGGAGGCGTAGGTGACAAGGGAACCGTCCTGCTGCTTTCTGCCCTGAGGGTCCCCAGGATTGGGCTGTGCATTGTGGGCAGTATCTTGAGGGTCCTACAAGTCATTGTTGCCCCACATCAGCCCATTGTACTCGCCGCTCCCCCAAGGCAGTTGATGGAGGTGGATCGAGAGGGGGCAGGGATCCAGAACCACGCCTGACCCCCCCCCCAGGCTTGGGATGGGCAGGATTTTTGGTTTAGTTCCTGGTGGAAACACCTCCAAAAGCACACTTTTCACTTTCTATGCTGGTACAAAGCAAAGCCGACCACAAAGCTGAAGCAAAAGGGTAGCTGAGTTTGCAGAAAGCCTGAAACACCTGCGGCAACGGGGACAAAATGGTTGTTCACCTCAGTCAGGCGCTCACTGAAGTGTTCCTCCAGCGATGGCAAGCTGTTCCTCCTGCCCTGCAAGAAAGAAAAGGAACAGCACTGGTGCTTCTCAGAAATATAAATACCTCCTCTAGCTCTGTCCTGAATGCCAGCTTGGTCAGGAGGTGCCTGTTTCTGCCAAAGAAGAGGTGGTGTTTTTAGTGGTGGCTGAAGTGTCCTCGTATTTTGGTTAGCTTAGATATAAAAGATGCTTGGTTTGCCCAAGATGACAAGTACTATTAAAATGTAGGCTGCGACTATTGATCATTAAAGCAGAGCGCTTTCTAAAAGCCTCTTGATTGAAGCTGGTAGAACTAATCTTGTCTGAAGGGAGTTTTGATTGATTTTCTTTCAAATCAAACCAGAAAAATGCTGGAAACACCCATCTTTCTCTTACATTTTTCTTACATAAAAGCCTGTCGATGTTATAGATTCTTTAATGCCACAAAACCAAAACAACAACAACAACAAAAAACCCCTTTCGCCTGTTCAGCTTTTGATGAAGCTCTCTGCAAAAATGCCAAGCAGCTGACGAAAGAAGCTCCCCCACCCCCACATATCACTTCGGGTTTGCCTAGTGGAGAAAAAAAAAGTCTCCATCCATTTCTCAGGCAGCCCCACTGGGGCTCTCCCATCTCCCCAGCAAGTATTTTCCACCCAAAATCAGATGCTACGCTCCAAATTGGCATCGTCCTCAGTAAAAAGGATGCCTCCCGAAAGAGCTGGTGGGATGAAACCTGCAGAGGATTTTGCTGGATTGCCTTTCCCGTGTCCTTCATCCGAACGTGTCCCAGGCCAGGTAGGTCCCGCCATCGTATCTCCAGCGAGCTGGGATGCATCCCTGGGATGCTCCCACCCAGCCTGGCTTAAGGGCATGGGCAGATGATGGGTAGCTGCAGCCTCCAGCTGCCCTTTGCATCCTTCACCTGGAGGCTCCCTCTCCCTCAGCAGGATGGGGCAGCCATAGCACCAGCTTGGAAGTCAGGTACGGAGCTTAAACTGGGCCCAGAGGAGGCGTGGGATCGTGGTAAAACAGTGAAGTCCAGGAAACAGCAATTCTGGGATCATTTGGGCTCAGCCAACCCGTGTGAGTGGAGGTCCGTCCTTTCTCAGTTCACCAGCTGTAGAATGGAAATAGGGGCACCTTCGGGTTTATTTCTTATTTAATCCCTGACATAAGGACTCAGCAATTACCGTTGAGCATAGAATAAACGCACTAAATTGCCTCGTCCATGGGGTTGATGGAGGAGCCCAGCCTGGGGCAGGTCTCCTACCCCGTGGTCAGGGTTCAGGCTGCCCAGGCATCCGTGGAGCGAGGACGTGGGAAGAGTTCATTGCACAAGGAACGAGTGGCTACACAGTCAGCTCTGCACGGCGGGGGTCCTGCAAAGCCGCACAAACTGCCAGTAAATCGCTGCTCTGGGAACCAGCTTTTGTTACCTGATTACCACTAAACTCGATTACCAGCAAGGCAGACAAACCAAATTAGAAAAAATAAAAAAAAAAATTAAGAAAATAATCAAAGCAAGAGAATTTGATTTGCGTTTCATTGCATGTCTGTGCAATCCTGCCTCCCGCGCTCCTGTAAACGCCGGCCTATTTTGAGGTCTTCTCGCTCTCATCAAAATTATCAGCAAAGACCTCAAAACGGCCCCATTTCCTCCAGCAGCGACTGCACAAGGCACCCGCAGATGAAATGTGTCAGCTTTGCCTGCTTTTTAAATCTCGTCACTGTGCATTTTGCTTGGCTAGCGTGTAAATTCCTTGAAGTTTCAGCAAATCCCGAGTGGATCAGCTTCTAAAGAAAACCCAGTAATAGCATAATAAAGGATATCACACAACACAGCATATATTAGTTTGCAAAGTTCTTGGCTTGCATATACAGAGGAGTGATTTTTCAGGTGCTGAATTTGGAGCTGCAACAGCAGGGCACGGTTTTCTCCCAGCCTAGGGGACATCAAGTCTGCTCCCCCTCCATAGCCCCTTCCTACACCAGGAGGGATATTTGGCAGCCTCCCTCCAACCCGCTCCCACCCATCTCTCTGGGTCCAAATCTTCCAGCCAGGCTCATCACTCCTCGCTGTGCTCAGCCCAGTTAGGAAGGAGGAGACGGTATATTTTGGAAGAAAGACACCAAAACCAGCCCTGCTGTCCACCTCCATCTCATCAGGCCTCCGCCTGCATAGACGCTGCTGGGCGTTCAGACAACACGGGTGGTCATGGAGCGTTTTGCTTGGTTTCTGTGACTAAGGCCAGCTGAAGAAAATACAGAAGAAAACAGGAAAAGAATAACTCAGTGAATTAATTCAAATTCATTTTATCAGGGAGTCAAGGGAGAATACTTTGGGCTTTGAATTTATCTAACAGTCAGAAGAGGAGAAGGAATTTGATTTTATTTCCGTCTTCTTCCAATCTTGGAGGAGGATCTGGAAGAGGGAAATAATCAGGGAGGAAAAAAAAAATCTCCTAACACCTACAATGAGACTGACTGACAGGAAAAAAGAAAAAAAAAGATACAGCAGAGGTAAAGTTCTCCGCAGAAATTTTCCTTTTTGGCAGAAAAGCCTGTTCTCCCCTTGAACAGCTTTCAGAACAAAGTACCCACACAGCTGCTGTTCTCACTGACCCTCTGGACTGACAGTTTATCCAAGAACAATTAAGAGGTGATGTGATCCTGCCTAAAAATGCCTACAAATTCCTGACAGCAGGCAGTTTGAACCAAAAAAGCTGTAACATAAAAGAAATCCATATGACTAGCTAGAGGTTTTTGCTGGATTGATCGAGGCTGAACAGCAGGCAGATGTTTTTTCAGTGGGAACGTTGGCTGACAGTGGCCAACTCTCTACTGATTTATTAGTTTACAATCGTGATTTACCAACTAACAGTTGACACAATGTCTTAGTCACACGAACTCTCCCAATCACGGCTGGGGACGGTTCAAAATTACACCCTGTAGTCTACTGGTGGACTACGGTGTCTGGAGCTGGTGGTTGATGCATTCTCCAGCTCCCTTCAGTCAAGCTCACAAGGTAACTCCTAACTCCAGGCATCAGGATTTGTGAATCTGTGGGTCACCACATGCTTTTTGGGATCTCCTACTCGGAGGTCCTATCATTTCACTCTCAGGGGAGGGCTGGACACCATCACTTCAGGAGCTACGGGCCATGCAAGGGAGAGGACTACTCCAGCTGTTTGTCTCATTCCTGTCTTGGTTTCCAGAGATAATCTCCAGCAGATGTTGCAGAAACCTGTAGGTTTGTCCTAATATTGCAGGCTGGATGGAGAGGGGAGTGATGGGCTGTGCTGCTCTCAGCGGTGTCTCCCATGGGTGCCAGCGCTGCAAGAGGCAAACACCCAGTCCATCGGCTGAAAGAAGCTGTGCCTCAGCAGCTGATCGGGTGATCACTAGCTTTGCTTTCTGTGCCCGTCCAGACACATCCTTAAGTCTTCCCGAAGGAACCAAGCTCCTTGCTCGCACACAGCCTCAGGGGCATCTCAGCTGCAAGGTATATTTCTTCCCTGAGTTCCCAAGTTGCCTGGACAGATAAGAGAAGGGTGTTGTGCTTCCCACTTCCCATTAAACACTGGGATGCGTCTATTCATTTAATCTGGAGTCAGTCCTGATGTATTCTGGTGTAAGTGTTACTCTGTGGCTCACCCACCCCACTCCTGGGTGTTTCCCTGGGAGGGCAACAGTCCGGAGTGAGTTGCATGCCGCGGCTGGAAGTTGTCGCATGTTCTCTGCACAAACTAGTTCTGGTGGAAAACTAAGCTTTTTAAAGCATTTTTATTCCCCAGGAAACCACGTGAAGCTCGGACTGCACTCAGCAGTTAGATGGCCTCTTGTGTCATGCACGGGGTGGTTGCAAGAAAGCAGTGGGGAATAGTCGAAACAGGGTGTTTAGGCAAGAGAGCTGAAGGGGCGTGAAATGTGTTTCAGAGGAGAAACTGCAGCTGCACGTCCCTGGGACCATTTTCATTTGGTGAATTCATTTGTTGCCCCCCCTGCCAGGGCTAAAATTCTCCTGTCATGGAGGATTAACAGCTGATTAGGAACGAAAACCACCCAACAGCACTCACACCTTGCAACTTTCCTGACCTTTTGCAACTCTTCCTTTGACCAGGTATCTGGGGATCACCCGGCCGCTGACATACCCCGTGAGACAAAACGGGAAGCTGATGGCCAAGATGGTCTTCATCGTTTGGCTCCTATCTGCCTCCATCACTCTTCCTCCTCTTTTTGGCTGGGCCAAGAATGTCACGGTGGAAAGAGTCTGTCTCATCAGCCAGGACTTTGGGTACACGGTCTACTCCACGGGGGTTGCCTTCTACATCCCCATGGCGGTCATGCTCGTCATGTACAGCCGGATCTACAAAGCTGCCAAGGTCAGCGCTGAGAAGCACCGCTTCATGAACTTCCCCAAGCACTACGAAGAGGAGGGTGTCTACTGCCTGGAGGCCTCCAGCCGGAGCCACCACAGCTCCAGGCGTACCAAAGCGGTGGAGGAATGTGCCACACTCTCCAAACTGCTCCGGCAAGACCGAAAGAATATTTCCATCTTCAAACGGGAGCAAAAAGCAGCCAGGACCCTCGGCATTATCGTAGGGGCGTTCACGTTTTGCTGGCTTCCCTTCTTCCTGATGTCAACGGCACGGCCTTTCATCTGCGGCATCCGCTGCAGCTGCATGCCCCTGCGGCTGGAGAGGACTCTGCTCTGGCTGGGATACACCAACTCCCTCATCAACCCCTTGATTTATGCTTTCTTTAACCGAGACTTAAGGACTACTTTCTGGAACCTCCTGAGGTGCAGGTACAGGAACATCAACAGGAGGCTCTCCGCCGCCAGCATGCACGAGGCCCTGAAAGCCACAGAGAGGCACGATTGCATCCTGTAGAGCCGCGTCCTCTCGCTCAGTGCCTGACCAACGAACTCCTGCCTCTCCATTTCAGGTTCCTTGCTTCTCTTGCCTCTCGGGCCTGGCAGAAACCACGTGTGCCGTTGTCCCCGTCCCCCGCCCCCGCCCCGCCAGACATCACCGCTGAGCGCGACACCCCTTCGCCTCGCCCCGGGAGGAGCTGCGGTTCTCCTCGCCTCGGGAACAAGTGGGCAGCCCCTCCTTCTCGCCATGTCCCAGGTGGGAGCTGAAAAGCCATGAGCAAGACCGGGGCGTTCAAGGTCTGCCGCCGACTGTGGGCAAGTCACACCACCTTTCTGTGCCTCAGTTTCCCCATCTGTTAAAAAAAAAAAAAATGAAAGAAAGGAAAAGAAACCCTCCCAACCAAACAGAAATAAAACCTACAAACTTGATAAGACTGTGGCTCTCCACCTTCAAAAAGGGCTCTAAGGTCTGTGGAGGGCACACGATATGCTTTGTAAAGATGACGTTGGCTGCACTTCTCTATCGAATACGGCAGCAGCTATAGGCTCCATGGTAGACCCAAGCACTCCTGCCATCCCAGCTTACGCGAACTCTTTCCACCGATGTAACTGCATTTTACACACTGAGCTCACGTCCAGGTGTGCACGTCAGAGCAGTAACACCAATGTTTCCCCTCACACTGTAGCGCTGCAGCACTTGGAAGAGCCACGCTTGCAGAATGAGACACAGATGAACGTGAAGTTTCTTTTATGTTGGGTAGGAAAGTCCAACGGCCTCCTCATCAGGGCGATGACCAGTGAGCAAAGAAAGACAGTCATGTTTATCGGGTTGTACGGTAATTCATTCTCAGACAAGTGATGTGTGTTCATAATTTGTGGCTAATTGACTCCATAAAAGCACGCTTTGGTTGACAACAGAAAAAAAGTATATAATTTCTCTGGCAGCTTTACAGTGCTTCAGTATGATGTCCAGCAAGCTTGAAAAAATACACTAAATGATGTATCCTCTTTTTTTTAAAAAAAAAAAAAAAAAAGTCTGGTTTCCTTATTCTGGTGTAGACTCTTTGGTCACTTTGACTTTAAATTGACTCTTTACTTTTATGTGGTGGTGGGACTTGTCTTCCTGCAGTTCTCTTTGCTTTTGATCAACCTTGCCTTGCTGCCCCAAAAACCCTTGCCCGTTCATAATGATGTCTGCTCCACGGGGTCAGTGGTTTGACTCTCTCCTATCTGTGTCCTCTTGTCAAAGCCAGACTGTTCAGAGGCTCATGAAAGGGAGTTCTAGCCCTCCCTCCACTACAGATTTTCTTTTTTTCAAGCAAGAGTATATAAGTGGTGGTAGTCCTATCTCTTGCAACATCACGCAGTACGATGCCTCCACGTGTAGCTAAAAGTCAGGTGTTGGGTGTCTTGGCTGACTGCTGATTTGGTTTGGCTTAGTAACCAAGATTTCGCCTGTGACATCTTCTGTACTCTCACTTCTCTTTTTAAAAGACATTTTTATCCTGTTTCTTTTTACACTTGCTTTTTCCTAGAAATGCCCAACAAAGTCTCCAGTTTAGACTGGTGATTCACAGCAGGGAAACTGGCTCAAGCCCACTGCGAATGTCCCAAGGGACTGAGAGGTTGGGCAAAGGAACAGCAACGTGTCCAGATGTTCTCCAAGCTCGTGTCCTCACAGCTAGAGCCAGAATTGCACACAGGAGCAGTGCAAGTTGTAGCTGTCGTATGGATCTCCAGTGGGAAATACTTAAAAATCAGACAGCAAAGAGATTTGAAGGAGGACTTAGTCAGGAGGGATCCTAAAGGTTTAGCTGGAGCCCTGCTTCACCTGCTGTCCCATGCAGAAGCTCTTTGAAGAGTAGCAAGTGATGCTACCAAGATGCTTAACAGCTTTCTATCTGCCACGGCTTGCTACCTATGGTGTTGGGTTTGTGCAAGGCTGCCTGGACCAGGCTGTCTGCTGAAGGCAGAGCATTGCATGCCTTGCAGCCTGGCCTTGCAGCCACGGTCAGTCCCCATCCCACCCTGCTCAGGGGCTGTTATTCCTGTCCAGGACCCACACAAAATCCAGCCTTGCTGAACTGTCTAGAACGCACGCCCGCAGTAAGGACCTGCCCTCTGCCATTCTGCCAAAGACAGATGCTATTGCCCAGGGAGCCTTGAGTGGTGTCCCTGGGCTGCCCTGAGGTCTTGCATCCTGCAAACCAGAGACCCCACCAACACAATGAGGCAGAAGAAGCCATGAGCACCCCCTCACTCTCTTGCTTTCACACTGCTGCCACATGAACTGGTGCTAAACCTTGCCACAACCTCTCTACTTTCCCCTGACAATGTATGTTCACCTTGGTGCACTTGCTGCTCACCACCCTTCCCCAGCTTGGTTGCAGCTTCTCATGATGCTTCTGCTTCCAAGCCCATATAATAAGTCCCCATGGACTGCATTTCTAGGGCACGGTCTGACTGCCCACCTCGGGACCTGCTTAACAAAAACAACCCCTTTCCTCCCAGAAAACACTTTGGGCCATCATGTCCTCTGTCACAACGTTTTAGCAGCAGCTGGTCACCGGCTCTGGGCTGCCATGGGGACACGAAGCTCCTGCAGGGTCCGATTTCCTCCCTGGGGTCCCTCAGCTTCTTCCCTGCCATGGAGCTAACGGTGCCCTTCTGACAGAGCTGTCTAGATTAAAACTAACCAGCTGCTAATTCAGACTGTCTCGTCAGGATGTGAAAGCCCCAAGACAGCCCATTTCATATTCAGCGCAGAACAAAAGAGTCTGGTTTGTTCTGCTGCGGTATATTTATATGCCTAAGGTCACAGTGGCATGGTTTTACTTATTTTCTGTATTAGGCGGTCTCGAACTTCCTTCAAAATTCATAATCTTGTTTAATTCCACTTAACGTCCCTATTCTGATGGTATTTCTAGCACTGCTTAAAAGTATTCTGTAGAAGAGCTATGAAACAGTGTTTGAGCCTTTTAACTGAAGTCATATGAATACTGGTTTTTGTCATTTGCTGGTTCTTGCAGAATAAAAAGAATAGGGGTAAGAATATGATTCTGGATGATCCAACCCCCAAATTTCTTCTAAGCAAGGAATCAAGCAAAATGGCTCATTTGTCTTAAAAATCAATGTTTTCTTTGACTTGGAATTGACTGTTTTCTTTCACTCACGGCTTACCTAGTCACCTTTTTTTTTTCCTATATTTTCATTTTAAGCTGTAGATGCATTTTAAAAAAAAAAAAGTTTGCTCCCAGAATTCCAAAAGTTTGCATCCGAAAATATTTAAACATGATAGCTTTGCTAAAACAAAGCATTTTGCTCAAAAATTAATGAGATAGCTTGCATGATTTTTCCAGTAGTTATTGTCTCAAGCTGTGAGACATCAGCTTAAAGTCTTGCTTTTTAACTCTCTAAGATTAAATTGTGTTTAGGTTCAATAAAATAATGTCCATCCAAAGACACCAAGGCTTTTTCCACACACGAGTGAGCACCAACCATTTAGTTAAGCCAGTCAAGATCCTTGTAGCTGAGCCACTAAATCATGCTGAAAATACTCTGTGGGGTTTTTTTTTATTTTATTTTATTCAGACAGGAATCAATGCATTTGGCATCTGCCAAAAAAAAAAAAAAAAAAAAAAAAAAAGGCTTAAAATAAATCTGAGCCATTTTGAAACTGATTTTAGTGTGCACCCGTGTGCGTAACCAAGCTATGCGAGATTGAAGAGAAATTAGCTCTGTAAGAGTCCGTGTTCAGGCAAAAATCTGAGCTCATGGAGAAAAGTATCAATTTAGGAGGACAAGAGGAACTTTCGCAGGTAATGAGAGAGTCCCAGCAGGCTCACAGCAACACAGTGGAAAAGAATGAGGGGCCTCGGGCAGAGAAAATTGAAGTAATTGAGGCATAAAATGAGTACGTCTCGAGTCAGCTTTTTATTCCACTCCACGTGCAGGGGAAATACAGAAGCACGGGCAGAAGCAATGTGGGGAGAAAAGACAGTTTTGACAAACCCCTACGGCTGCCCCACCCGGGGCTTGGAAGTTTTTGATAATGACATTGAGCAAAGCCAGGCGAGATCAGCGAGAGATAGAACAAAAAAGCCCCAAGCGGTAAAAGCTTGTGTGTCTCTCCCCAAAGAGCGTGAAACCTCCCCAGGCTCTGAAGCCAGCACTTCGGGGGTGGGTTTGGCTGAGAGAGATGAGCGCTGGAGATCTGGACAGACAGCTCAGCAAACCCGCTGTGTTCTTCACCTCCACGTGGGTCCTGCCATCTCTACCATCTCCTGATGACAATGTAATATTAAGAGAGCAGCACCACGACAGACTGGAAGCTGATCTAGCCCAGCATCCTACCTCAGGCAGAGACCAGTGGTGGATTCTTAACAGAGATAGACCAGAAAACCTGTTGTGGTCTCTTTCCTTGTCCCAGCAGTTAGAAGTTCAGCAACCTGCCAAGCCAGAAGCGCTCTTGTAGTGTTTCATAGCCTCCAACGGGTGCTTTTCTTCTAACCTATTTATGTTTTTCCCACTCTGCCATCCTGAGGCAATGAGTTCCACAATTTAATTACTTTTCAGTTAAAGAACTACCGCCCTTCACTCGTTTTGAACCTGCCATCTGCTGAGCTCATTTGGCGCCGGCTAATACTTTTATTAGGAAGGAGAATGAGTGACCATCCCTATCCACCCTCTCCAGGCCAGTTACAGTTTTGTAGACCTCTGCCATGTTCTTCCCTTGAAATAAAAACCTTACCCAGCCCACGAGTCCTTCTCCACCAGCAGACATCAGGAGATGCCTTGGGAAGAACACTAGAACAAGGACAGTCTGGATCATATGCCTTCCCACCCTCTGCTACTTTCAAGGCATCCAACCTGTTTTAGTTCAGGAAATTTGCTCCTCAGACACGGTTTCTGTGCAAGCCTCAGTGTAACCCCCTGCTTTTCCACAGGCAAATCTTGCATCTGGGACTGGATAACCCCCTGTAACAGCCCAGGCTGGGGCACCTGGCAGAGCAGGACCTGGTGCCCAGGGCACTGCTG